ACACTTCAGGATGAATGAAATGAGATTACCTATATAAGAAAGAAAATTAAAACAAAACAAAAAGCCCCCAAAGGCTGAAAGAGCTGGAAGGCCAGTCCCACTGAACCCTCCGCCTCCAGGTGTCCCGTGGCCACCCTCTGTCTTCTCCTCTTCAGAGAAGGTACCGCCCTGTCTGAGGGCAGAGCAAGGCCCGGCAGTCAGAAGCCCAACCGCAGCTTCTGCCCACCGCGTGGCTTGGGCTGCCGCTGTTCACCCCTCCGCCATTCAGTTTCCTTATCAGGGCAGTGAGGGTAAACGTAGTGCCTGAGTCACAGGGTTGTTTGAGAGTGAAGAAAGAAAATGCTTGGCACACGCTCTGTGTAGCCACTGCCAACAGCAGGGATTCTGCAGAGGCTAGCTGCTGTCATTCTCGCTGTTACTTCGCTAACAGGTCTGTAACCGATTTATCTAGGCAAAGCGAATTCTATCCAGGTGAGCACCTGCTGGAAAAGTTTCCAGACTTATGAAGAAACCAGAAGGACGATAGGAAAGAAAATGAAAACTCCTCAGTTAAATATCTGGAGATTGCTGTGAGGTGCTACAGGGAATTCCTGTCTGAAGAAGTAAAATGCATGTCCTGCCCTAGGGGAGATGAAGCCCTGGTGGGGGGGACTGTGTCACAAAATGACACGTCAGACGGTAAAAGCTTTAAAAAACAAGCAGTTAAAGAGACTAATGGATGTCACAGAGCCTTCTGTGAACTGTCAAATGAGCTGTACAGATGATAACTGTTCAGAACTCAGAAGAAGGGCAGGAGTGAATGGATCACCTGTATTTATAGCTCTGCCTGCTAAGGTTGGTAAAATAGCTACATTTTAATTAATAAAGCCACATTTCCCACTTGCAAGGGTCGCTTGAGTACCACGTGACCCGGTGTTCCACTCCCAGGTAGGCAACGCAGTGCAGCCGGAAGGCAAATACTCAGGGGCCAAAGGTCACCGTGACACAACAGGCAAAAGGTGGCAGCCACCCAGGTGTCTGTCACAGAGGAAGGGACGCACCACGCACACCCACACGGTGGAATCTGACTGGCCGGGAAACCGGTGACGTTTTGCTAGAGGCAATGTGGGTGAACCTTGAAAAGAGGCTCAGAGAGTGAAGCCTGACAAGGACAGGTGGTGCATGAGTCCACCTGGACGCCGCTGGGCCCCTGGGATCAGCACGTTCACAGAGAAAGTAAACAGAGGCGGTCAGGATGGGGGAGAGCGGGGAGTCGGGAGTTACAGCCCCCAGGGTACAGTTTCCCCCGTGGAAGTTTTCGCATTAACGTAGTGGTGATGGCCCTAAATGGAGTTGTTTACTTCAAAATGGTGAAGGTGGCCAATGTGTTTACCTATCTGCAGGTAATCATCGTGCCTGCATTCCCCAAACCACTGAGCTGTCCACTTTGGATGGGCGACTTGGACAGTAAGCAAATCAGCTCTCAGCTTTCAAAAAATCTTACTCGGAGAAACAAAGCATGTAGGGTGAGTGGGGGTGGGAAGACACAGGCCTGGCCCTAGCAGTGAAAAGGGGAGCTCCAGGGAAAGGTCCCCAGGCCAGGAAGTCGACAAAGGGATCTGAGAACAGCAGGCGGAAGTGGGAAGCTGCAGGGAGCGCGCACAGGACGCAGAGCTGCCCCAAGGACCGCGAACCCCCAGCTGCCTTCTGAGTGGGTGCGGTTGGGTAATGTGTGGAGACGTGGCTGTGCAGCAAGAGGTTACTAAAGGGAACCCCGCCCCGCTCCACACCTCTGCAAAGCGCTCCCAGTGGCAGGGGAGGGGCTGGGAGGCCATGACCTTGAGCTCCCAGTTCCTGGGGGGAGGCGGCACTATGCTGCTCATCTGCAACAGCCGGTTGTGACTGACAGAACACACGGGACGCACACGTGGTCTGTGGCAGGTGCAGGTGTGAGGGCTGAGCCCACACAGAGGAGAGGCTGGGTTCTATTCTAGTAGTGATTCGGCTGTCCAGTTCCTGGCCGGATCTGGGTCCCTCCAGGGCCTGCTATGGAATCCACCAGGGGTGAGTGTCCCCATGGCACTAAAGCGTCCATTGCGAGGCTCGCGGAGGCCATGAAGGGGACTGAAGATTGGATTTGGCTGACTCCTAATGCGGAGAGGAGGTTACTCCCTTTCGTAAGGGTGCCTGATGTGGCCAACTTCTGAATCCACAGCTTTACTTACATGTAGTTTAGAAAATGAACAAGTCACAAGCACAGCGCCAATGTTGGACATGCGCCGACAGAACTCACATTGGGCCTACTGGGACTTATTCAGCTCAGCAGGAGTGAGGGCATTCTGACTGGTGCTACTGAAGATCCAGCGACCACTGCATGAACCAGCAAGCCTTGGGCACTGAAGACGGCTTTCTGGAAAATTTGGACAGCTGCATTGTGGCTTGGGGGATGCGTGAGAATTCAGGGCCATCTTTTACATGGAAACTCGCCAGGCAGAGAGCTGACCTGCCAGAAGTTGTGGACGCCCAAGAGTGACCTAGAACCTCCACACATCCTCTCTGCTGCTCACCCTTCGTTTAGCACCCTAAGGCCCTTGTGCCTACTGAGCAGACAAGACACCGCAGTCCAGTGCTGACTTCCAACCGTTCTGGGTTTACGTGACAAGCTTAGAAAAGGTAAATGAATTTGATAGCTGTTTTTAATCTCGTCTATTGTTAGAAATCTCTGTGCTTTCTCTGAATATACTCTACAGATTAGAGAAGAAATTGGGAAGCTGTTAAGAGAGTCACTTTGAAAATGACGCTTTTGCGATTACTATGACAGATTCTTGAGGCTCTTACGTAACAATACCACGGGACGCGTCCAGTGTCTAATTATTATTGATAGCTTACCAACCACATCATGAGTCAGTTAATGGAAGTGAGAGATGGCGATACAAGCAGAATGAGGAATGTTAGCTTCAATGGCCTCGACTATCACTCTGAATAAAGAACAAAGAGGCCAGAGTTCATAACTGCGTTGTGTTGTCATGGAATAGATGATTTTCATCTTTTTAAAATGATGAAAAGAAATAAGAACCTAAGAAATAAACACATCAGCCCTGGGGGGCAACACATGGCTGGATGATCAGATGCAGACCTGTGACCCCTTTTCTGCAGGGATGCACCAGAAAGCAGAAAATATGTTTCTGATTTCTATTTGCTAATCTCAGCCCATTCCAGCCTTCGAGACTGGGGTCAAAACTCATCTCCACCAAGAAGCTTTCCATGACTTGTTTCACTCCTGATTCCACTGTGAATGCTGGATGTGAAACACATTCTCTGGACTGTGACGTGGGTTACTAAACCCAGGCATCCCTGATCAGACGCATGCCACTGTTGTTCCAAGCAGACAGGGAGAGCTCAGGCCACTTGCTTCCTCAAGCTTACTAGTTAGGGACACAGGCAGGTCTGAATGTGGATTATTTTTGGTGGGGCAGGGGGGAGGGGGAGGCAGGTGTGCGAGTAAGCACGGATTTAAGTTTATTAATTAAAAAAAATTTATTGCAGTAATACTGAACATGAGTATTTTGTAAGGTTCACATTACAGTGTAGTTGACCAGACGTACGATGTTGCACCGTGGCTGTCTATATGCCCAACCCACACTTCCTGGAGCTCCTGATAC